TATGTTGGGCACACTACTACTAGACAGCTTAGCCAACGTGTTAGTGAACTTCTACCATTGTGGTTTGGCAAAGGGCAGACAAAAACAATCCGTAGCTCAATTTTATCACATTCAATTGATAGTGGTCATGTAGTGGAGAAAACTAGAGCTTTCAAAATAATTTATCGTATCCCAACGAATCTTTCCAATAGACTTCGTATTCATCTACTGCACACACACACACACGCAGCTGAGACGATAGGCATTCGGACTATTAAACCTAAACTATGCTCATTCAAAAGAAGTTCGTACAGCCATTATTCCTCCCTTATTGGCCTATTAAAACATAACCAACTGATGACTTCTACACCACCCCTGTTTATATTTTCAATCCCTCTGTTATCATCTCGTAATGTTATCACATCTTCATTAAAAACGTGTGTCATTTACTTCCCTTACAACCACTCTAACATTACTTAATCGGTTCATTTGTCTTTACTAGCCTTTATTGACCACCACTTCCACCTGAACAATTGTTTGTTTAATCATGGCGTTTTCCATTATTCGTGTTATCACAGATTGCCTCACTTTTTCATCCTTATTATTGATAAAACCATTAGCATTATTATTACTATTATGACTAATTGCACAATTTATATTCACCCTCGTATTATCCTATAGACAAAACACCATGATGATTGGTTTATATTTGAATTTCTATTTGTAAACTTATATATATTACAGCTAAGCCTGATGAGATCTAATTGAAAACAGCCATATTGTTCGCTTAAATGTGTGTTGTTCTAAATTTTACTATGGGAATATTTAATATATTGATATTAAGTGTTGCAAATCGAAATCCTGTTCCTTACAACACTGAGTTCAGCAAATTTAAACTGATTTCAAACTATTGTCAGATCTGTTTTTGCTTCTCCTATCATTCATATCCGTTCCGCATGACCTACCTCTTTCAAATTTCTTCCTTTTGGCAGAGATTGATTCTTGTTGTCCAAGTATTTGTTTGTAGGGATTTGTTGGTTGATTGGTTACAGGATTTCATCATGAGCTGACATTGGTTGTAGAACCATTGGAAAACCAACTGTAAGTACTGGAAAGCCGTCTCGCCACACTAATTTGCGACCCTTCACCAGTACGCACCTACCGGGTTTTAAAGCCACGACCTTCTGAGCTGAATATCAATGAGACTGTCACTGGCAACTGGCCCTATTCGGATTGTGAGGGCGATTGTTACTTCCCGGCTGCTCACACCGTGGAAGTTGGTTGCGTGACCGCAGAGCCCAGGGGACAACTGCTTGAGGCCGGTCACACGCAGCCTGTTTTTGTTCGTTCTCTTTTGTTTGGTGTGCCTCAGTAGCATACTTATCACTCCTGCCCTGTGACACAGCAGCAGGAAGCGCAGTCGTTGTTAATCCGGGCCACGGCCGATCTGGCATGAAATTTTGTGATTTTGTATTGATCATGATGTTGGATTGTGTAGCTGCTTTTTGTTTAACCGCTATCCAAACAACCTGCCTGGCATGGTAGGACCTCAAGAGACATAAGTCTCAGCCAGTATAGCTTGAACAGATCATTGCGGTGTTCAAGCCCGACCACCACGTCAAGGTAGCAGCTTTCGGTCGGGACTGGCCCTATTCAGGTAGGTAGGTAGTTACCTGGGGGTTCTAGTGGGAAGTCGTGACCATTAGGCTACAGTAGGTTGAGTGTGAGGACATAATACTCGCCGAAGATGTTGGCTAGCGGCTGCACCATTTCGTGGATCGGCAAAAGTTAGACTTCATAGGCTGACCATTGGATCGGCTCTCAGTGGCTTAATGGTCTGCCTAGCTAGCTCACCTTGTAACCAGAAGGCCTTGGGTTCGAACCCCCTCTGTGGGTGCGTACTGACGAAGAGTCACGAACTAGGCTGACGAAACAGCTGTCCAGTACTCCCAGTCGGTTTTCCAATGGTTCACCAACCGTGGTTGTTGTTTTTGTTTTATTGTTCTTGGCCGGGTGATTACGTAACCTTCATATGTTTAAATATATTTGTCAGATATTTGTATCTCACTTTCACATACAATCAGAATGCAAGAGCAGTTGAATCAGTTTGTAGTAATAAAAGTTATTTTTTTTAAATTACGCAAAAATGAACCCACCACTTTTGCTTTCCAATAAGTTATTGGAGTACATGATTATTTAAAGATTAATTTAAAAGTGAATGAAAGAATGCACATCGCGTAACAATGGCTTATCAAATGTGATCATGACTCTTTTACCCCTGAGTTTACCACATTTTAATTAAAGGTGTGGAAATAAACGACTTTCCGATGTGTTCCTCATGAGTGCTTTACAAAAATGTCCTTATATCTACCTGATCGAAATAGGTTCATGTGATGCTAAATAAACTAAAGAAGTCCACACGTGAATCACAGTAACATAGTAATTTGATCACTTTAATTGGTGGATGGTGACTGACTAGCAGTGGAATCCAGGATAACATGCATTTCGTCTTATCTCGGACTCGTCAGCCAGTGGATGTACTGGATGCATTCCCCAGTGACTGATGATGTTCCCACCGAGACTCGAACCCAGTGCCTATAGTTTCAAACGCCAAAGCGTTATTTACTCTGGCTCTACTCTAATATATTATGTATAGCATTTTTATTACAATACACAACAGTTTACCAATCAGGTAGTGGCACTGATATGTTTGTTAACGGTAATTAGTCTGTGTCAACATGTCAATGGAGCCGGGGGATAATTAACGAAGAAAATGAATACACAATTAAAAGGTAGAAATGGTCAGAATAAATTAATTTTACAAGGATAACACGTAAATTAAAGATGAAGTGGTCAAAATAAATCAAATAATTTGGACAATTATAATTTTTATAATTTTAAAGGTCTAGGGGGAGGAGGGCGAAGTAGTCCTGTTTATGCATTCTTGTAACGATGACCAAGGTAAGGAAAGTGGCTGTACAAATTTCTTCTGAACACAGAGTTTTGGCTTGTTCTTCAGATGGATTCCTATTTATTCAGCTATCTTTAGAAGACGAACTCCTAGAGCAAAGTTAAGATTAGTCGGAATACGATAAATAATTTTAAATGATGTAATGACATCAACCTTATGCTCAATATCAACAAGGTGTGCTAAAATAGAACTACGAATAGATCTTGTTTGTCCCTTGCTTAACCATGTTGGATGATGTTCGGAAATACGATGATGAACTTGCCTAATTGTACGCCCAATGTAGCAGGCTCCGCAGCTGCAGTCGAACTGGTAGATACACATAGAGGAGGCAAATTCAGGTATTTTATCCTTATTTCTCGAACATAGAATAGGGGTGGTTGTGAAGAGACAACGTATCTCTGCTGCATAACAAGCTCTTTTAACTGCATTCTTCAGGCCCTGTGTTATTACTTCGCTGATGTTGTCACCGAGGAGCTGCAGTTTTATGAGCATTGGTTTTTTCGGAACTGTACCCATACTGACTCTCCTTGGTGCTGAATTCATATTTTTTTCTAAGTAATTCTCTAATAATCTTAAGCTCCTCATTGAGGCAGTCGTCTGAACAGATTAACCTAGCTGTATGAACCAGGCACTTTACCAGGTTATGGTTATAATTCAAAGGTACGAAACTCCAAAAATGAGTGTACTGACCTGTTGTTGTAGGTTTCCTAAACACACACTCCTTCTTAGTGTGCCATCTTCTTTCCTTGCCATGAAGACGTTTAGGAATAAAATAGTGTCATTACTTTCTTTCTCTATGGTAAAGTTTACTGATGAATGTGCATCACTAAACTTGTCAGGGATGTTTGTTCACTGCATCATTCTCGTCTTTCATAACCCCGTCTCCCCCTAAACATTTAAAAACTATAAAAATTATAATTGTCCAAATTATTTTATTTTTTCTGACCACTTCATCTTTAATTTACGTGTTATCCTTGTAAAATTAATTTATTCTGACCATTTCTACCTTTTAAATGTGTATTCATTTTCTTCGTTAATTATCCCCGGCTCCATTGACATGTTGACACAGACTAATTACTGTTAACAAACACATCAGTAAAACTACCTGATTGGTAAACTGTTGTGTATTGTAATAAAAATGCTGCACAGGTGTATATTGGAGTAGAGCCAGAGTGAGATGAGGATCTAATTGAAAAGTAAATATTTCCTCGCTCGCTCAATCTTTCTGTTTTTTAGAATGAACTGGCAATTTTCTCAAGCCGGAAGAAAAAGATCATATGGTATAACATTAATCATATGAATAGCTCATGGTTGATTGCCTTGAACTTCAATCACTTGAATAAAATGCTAACAGTGACATTTTTTATAGTTGAAGACTATTTATCTGAAATTTATTAAGTCGAAAAAAAAACAACAACAACAGAAACCAGCAGAATAGTTTTACTGGTGAATTGTCCGACTTTGATCATTTTGCGAAGTAAAACAATCCATAAAATGATAGTTCCTTAGATAACTAGATTTTACAATAACACTAACTAACACACGCATAGAGTTCTATACATACTGATAAGACTTATTTAACAGCCATCTATAAAACACAAAATAATTGAGCAAAGAATATCCATCCCTCTTTCGATAAATTCCTCCTCTTTTGGCTCTAGAATTAATATATAGAAGTTAGAATTCAAGAACCATTGGATCGGGTCCCAGTGGCTGAATGGTATACGAGCTCAACTTGTAACCAGGTCATTAAAGATGCTTAAATTATAATTATAATAATAACAAAGATATAATAGCAGATAGAATATCTGCTAAAATTAGGAAAATTCCACAAAAATTTGAGGATCATCCAAACCTAGATGGCCAATGTAATGTAAGGTAAGGTCTTTTGGACGCACAAATTAGGCTTCTTAATGTGGATCCCAATATTTAGTAATTGAACTCTTGATCAAAGTATATATATATATATATATATGTCTATTCAGTGTCGACTATTGGTAAGTATTGTATTGAATAAACTTTTTATTTCTACGTTTACCTTACTTCTTAGGTTTAGAGCCGAGTCAAGTCTTACAATTCTAATAATTGTCAAGACAATAGAAGAGAAAAATCAGAAAAGAAGAAAATGCTCGTGAGTGCTGTCGAGAAGTGAATGCCTGACTGACTGACTGACTGACTGAGTAAGAGGTGGTAGTCGACATAACATGGAATATACTCGCACACGCACACACACACACACACACACATACACTAGCTACCTCTTCTCATCATTTTATTTTTACCTAAAAATCAGTTGCTCATAATTTTATTATTATTATTATTATTTACGATCAGTTTTAATTGTAATTGTTATTGATGATGACGAATTAGTGGAACAATGAATGAATGAAATTTCAACATGCCAACACTCTTCTTACCCACTTTTGATTATTACTTTTGAGTTTATTCTCCATTTCAATTCTTTCACAAAGATTTATAATTATGGTTTATATTCAAATTTCAAATTAACACATACCAACATATCTCCTCCCTTAAATCTCAGTTATGTAGTATTATTGATTTTTGGTAACATATCTTTAATAGTTTGATTACTTATTAATGTTTTTTAGAAAGAAAAATATTTGAGAGGTGTAAAGACAATCTGTTCTATGCAAAATGCTGTGTGATATGCGACCCTACGCTATCCAATGCTAATTATATATCAAAAGAAGGCCACTAATTACAAGATTGGTTTGCTGGCTGTGTACGGAGGATAAACTGCCTGGTTATTTTGTCAATTTTCGCTGTTACTATTATGATTATTACTGTGCAATTTAGGCCTACTTAGTCCATTTTCATCGCCTATTGAACCCACTGAATTGTTTTGTTTTTCTTCTTTTAAGCCCTTGATTAAGTTTGTTTAAATTGTCTCTTTTATTTTAAATAAAAATAGCTTATATGTCTTTCTTTTTTGAGTTATACTGATTTTTTTTAAACCGTCTTGTATTGATTATCAGATTCTACTGACGCTTATTTAATAATTTTACCAAATAATTACATGTATCAATTACTCCTCATGTATTCACTCAGGTTTGAATTTGCTTTTTTTAAAGTGTTTTATGTTCAATTGTGTTATTCATCCTTTTTTTTATTGGTCAAGACTCCAGTTTGTATGAATCAATCAGGTCATTATTATTTATCATTATTGACTTCTACTAATCAGAATGTCTTTTTGTACACTTTGAATTACCATAATGGTGATGACTATTAAGATGGCGAGGATAGTGTGTGTGTGCAGTAGATGTTTTCTATTGAATAATTTTAAAATATGACTTTTTTTTAAAAATCCTGAAATTTCATGTATTTGGTTCCCTTGATAAATTTTGGATAGAGAAAGAAAGACCAGAAATTTGCAGTATAAAATGTGATCTCACCATTCTATTTCACAGGTTCTCTCACATCAGCTAACTGACAACCACTACCTGAAATTACACTGGTTATAAATAATAACATTTCATACTGCATTGTTTGAAAGATAATAGAGAAAACATTATAAGGTGAACGGGCAAAGTTAAACTTTCGACGTCACTAACAACCAATCAGCAAACGACCTTGAGCGGACCAATCACACTAAGGAGGCATTTATGATAAATGGAAACGCATATTTATAGAAAAAAAAGCTTAAAAGAAAGCATAAAACTGTTACAGGGGGTATCTTTCCCTAACATATGAGAGAAACATCTCCCAGTTAAGCATTGGACTGTCACTAGAAAAGTTACACCACATTCTGCACATATATTCATCCAAATGACTATAAATGAGATCCATTTACAGCCCTTATCCTATTCTTCAAGCTGTCCTCAAAATCCTTCCATAGAATTTGTATGTCTCCTCGTAACGGGATCGACAAAATCACTTGAATGGTTGACTCTATGATGAATATATCCTAGAGATGACAGGGAATTGTACCCTTTTTATTCGTCCGTGTGTATTATTGATCCCCGTTTTACAAGTCTGGTAATAATAGGTATTAAAGTAGTTGCTTTTCTGTCTGCTATCCTTATTAAAATTATCAGCTTACTGTAGTAATTTATTGTAATTGTAATATTAGTACTTCAAGATGACCGAATTACAAGAATCCAAACAAAACACAGACAGGGCAGAACTCGGGAATTTGTATTTAGCGGAATTATTCAGCAATTCATATAAGAAACATATCAACAGTCAACAGTAATTATTTAAACAATACAGAGATAGAAATTGTCAATCACCACATCCGCTACACGTCGAATGTCTCCTTGCGTACTTATAACGATGTCTCGATTTGCTTGAAAGTAGCTGCGACCTAACTGATTCTGTGATATTATTTTCATCAGTATTATCTGGACTTATTTCTGAATTATCTACAAAATCAGGATTATTAGCGGAATCATTAAAATAATAATTGGAACGACCTACTCCATTTATTGTCACTTTGTCCAGGTGTCCGTTATGAACTGAGTGATCTTTGATGTCTAATATCTTCACCACTCGATTTCCCATTTTTTGTAGTATAATTCCAACAGAAGGTCTATAGTTATTACCTTTGTAATAATGTACATTAGAAGTCGTGGACATCAGATGCTTTTTGAGAATTCGAGATTTGAAAAGTTTTGCAGGATTTTCACGGGTACTTGTATGCTCTGCATTCGACAGACGCAGTCTATGCATATGCAGTAATTCCTCAATTTTAATCAGTTGCTCTCTCATCTCATTCAGGTCTTTTCGTGTTTTCGACAGTTCACATTGTAACTCGGCTACCACATTTTTGGAAACAGTTGACACTTGAGTTGCCGAACTTGTAGTGGAGGTTTTCATTGGATTAGCTTGAGTATTTTGAAAGGTTGAAAGACACATTGACTCCATTTTACTAGACAGCTTGGGAGAATTATAAGAATGCTGAGCAGCATAAGTATTCGAACTTCTGCAAACAGTCTTTATGTGTCCAACTTTACCACATTTATGGCACTTAGCACCCCGAAAACGGCAAGTGCTTCGTAGATGTAACTTTCCACAGGAAAAACACGGTTTATTACTTTTGATCTCTCGCTGCATTCTATTACCTGTGGACGACAATTTTGATTGCTTTCCATTACCACTTGTATTTTCGACTTTAGAAAGCATAACATCAGATACTGACGTAGTGGGTGCAGAGTAGTCACTATTGACATCTTCATATGTAATACATACATCTTTAGCAGTTTGAAAGGTACAAGAAGGAATCTGAATTAATTCTTTCTCTAACTTAGGAATATTGATTCCAGCAATTATACGATCACGTAGTTGAGTATGCAGCTGATCTCCAAAATTACACTTTGAAGCTTGTATTTGGAGTTGAAGAATGAACTCTCGAATCTTCTGGTTGGGAGCACGAACCAGTTTGTTGAAGTGAGCCCTCTCTCGCGTCTCAAAAGTAGTTATATGGAAGTGATCTATTAGAAGTTCACGGAGCTTAGCATATGGCAGAGAAATTGGTTTTTCTGGAAATGACAGAGTCTTCACTAGGCTATACGCATCTAGCCCAATAGCAGTGATGAAATATGCTGGTATTTTGTCATCCCGAACATTCTTTGAAATGCACCACGCATCGAAGCATTCCAAATAATCAGCAATCTCCCGTGGAGTAGCATTTATAGGAACATTTCCCAGGTTATTTAGTTCCATCGCGACGCCAATTTGTAGTAATTTATTGTAATCGTAGTTTTAGTATTTCGAGATGACCGAATTACAAGAATCCAAACAAAACACAGACAGGGCAGAACTCAGGAATTGGTATTTAGCGGAATTATTCAGCAATTCATATAAGAAACATATCAACAGTCAACAGTAATTATTTAAACAATACAGAGGTAGAAATTGTCAATCACCACACTTACCCTCTCTAACGCCGACTCACTTCAAGCATATTGCACAACGATGGACAAATCCATCAATTGACCTACTATAGCCTTTTATAGTCATGGTACCACCACACGAACAAGTCATCTCCTTCCGAAGCAAGCCTGAATCCAGGTAATACTGGAAAACGCTATCCTCCTCGAATTGCAACCGTAACCTTATTAGGGCACACATTTGAAATGAATCAAGCGCTATACAACATTGAACTAACATTCGTGAATCTCATTGGATATTCCGACGTCGTTCGCTGATTGGTAGTTAGTGGTGCTTAAAGTTCAACTTGGCTGGTGAACGCATCTGGAATGTGATTATTGCAATTTATGGTTTAAGTTACCATCAATTTATATACTAAAAAATTCATGAATAAGAAAAAGTGGGTGGGGTGATATGGTGTCAATGTAGTTGAAGATTGAACGATCAATTCATGGTTGTTTGCTCAAACCCAACTTCCCCATAATTTTCTCGGGTCATCAATCCGACAGTCATCGTCTCATCGTTCGCTGTTCATAAGGAAGATTCAAAACTATCAGAAGTAATATCGTGATTTATTGTTATAGCATTTGTTCTCAGACCTTCTGTAATAACATTACTGTTGGTTATATGTTGGCGTAAGTATAAAGGATTCTTGAGTCGCCAATCAGTGTTTTGGTTTTCGCGTTGGCTAATACAAAGCGTTTCTGAAAGTCTTCGAGGGACAGCGTGAGGTCCACCGTAGCAAGAGCTGGACAGTGACAGTTTATGAGAGTTGACTGACATATGTTCACCAAGTGTGAGAGATTGACTACACTCTGTGTGTGTGTGAATAAGTTTATTCTGTGACGTTTGATTGTAATTGCTTCAGCAATAAATCGTAGTAGATTCGCTCCCCTTTGTGTGTTTAATATTTTGAAGGATCTGGAAATCTCGACAAAATAACCCGTATCCACATGTTTGTGGGTGTCTGGTAATTGCACTTTGTAAATATCTGTGGTGGACCTATTCACTCTATTAGCTTAGTTACCCAAATTCAAATAGAAAATAATGTACCAAATCAGTTTAGTTACGGGAAGAATGTATTAAAGTTTGGTTACTTGGGTTTACAAAGATCCAAAGTCCACAATAAACGTTATAGACTCCAGGTGCTGCGGGAAGACTGCTCCAGTACTAATTCTCCAATGTTGACGTTGCCGGAGGTCGACCAAAGTACGTAGGAAGAACTACGGTGCTCCTGCAAAAATTTGAGATAGAAAGCAGGTGATTAAAATTGATCGACGGCAGTTGAGATGGTGGAGAAGACGGAGAGTCGAAGGCAGAACTATATGTTTATTCAAAACCCGAGGTAAAGTCAAAGTACAGAGTTTATGGTTAAAACAAAGTGGTGTACAATATGTTCATTATTTACATAGTAGTAAAATTTGGATAAGTTTATTTTTGAGGACTCCACAGGGCTCCCCCTCTTAGAGGTCCGGAGGACCATCAGTACTTGTCCTCGCGGACGATTACATGAATATAAGCAACATAAATAAGGGACAATGTCAACAATAAGGATAACAAAAAAATAACAATAGTATGTATCGCGGTACGTTCAACGTTTGCGTTACATTTTTACGTGATTCGTTACATAAAATTTATCTTGTTGTAGTACTTGCACAAGTACTATACCACTTCCATACTTGTAACCACTAACTCTCATTTCTAATAGTTATGGTTAATCAAAGTAAAAAGCAGCGAACCCAATCCCCTGTAAAACTGGTGTCTAATTTAACGTCCTTGATTGCTACATCAAGCAACACCCCCCCAACAAACGGCTATAGTGAGTCACATAACTCACGTGTATGCCGTAAGCGTCGAGCTGAAACTGAAAATAAAACTGTACTGACAGCCAGTATTAGCACTACTCCTAAAAATTCGGTACCCTCTGCTCATACAGAACTCCTCCCTTCACCTTATGTGCTTATGGAGAAACTCCAGCCATCAAGCTCTTTTTCAGTACTATCTTCAGAAATAGAACTTCTAAAGTTGTCTATAGGAGAACTTAAGGCTGAGTTAAGGGAAATAAAAAACAGCAAGTCAGTAAATGCTGGAAACATCGAAACCAATACCGAGATATCCAAATTATCAGATCAGATCAGCGATATCAGATCGCAGGTCTGTGGACTGACACCTCTAACTATCCTCATGAAAACGGTAAACCTTAACAAGCTTGACACAGAATCGGTAACTAAGGTAGATAACCTCATTAACTTTGTTACCACAGAAG